ATTAACTAACATTTTTAGAAATCCAATGTATTTTGACTCATAATAGTTACCTGAAATTACTTGAGAATGCTTCTTTGCACAATAACATTTTCTTACGTTTATAATAGGCACACTTCCAGTTCTGTTGCAGTCTAGTTTCATAAAGGCCTACATAAACAGTGAAATGTTATTTTTTTATCAAAATCATTAGACATGAGAACGAATTTTCTATTTTGCGGTAAGTTATTTCTGAGCTATAAACAAAACAGTTGAAAAGTACTAAACTATTAGGTTGGTGCAAAAGTAATTGCGTTTCAGGCCATGAATTTTAAATCATTATAACTAGGCTCAAACACATCTTTATTAATCAAAATAGGAACTATTAAAATCAACACATTTTTATCAACGAGAAATAAGTTTGTTTATTCCTGTAATGTAAAAATCTGTGCTTCCGGATTCCACGAACTCTTGGAAAGCATTTTCTGCTTCCTGCTGGCTGTGGAAGTGTTTTCACTGCAAAAAGTTGTTGAGATGCTTGAAGAAGTGGTAGTCAGTTGGCCAGAGGTCAGGTGAATACGGCAGATGAGCCAATGCTGGCTGCAGGCATTGTAGTTTTCAGTGCATCTCATCAATTTGCTGAGCATATTTCTCAGATGTAATGGTTTTGCCAGGATTCAGAAAGCTGTAGTGGATCGTACCAGCAGCAGACCACCCAACAGTGACCACGACTTTTTTTGGTTCAAGTTAGGTTTTGGAAGTGCTTTGGAGCTTGTTGGTCCAACCACTGAGCTGGTTTTCACCAGTAGTCTAACACAAACTCCATTTTTTCTTGCACATCCAATAGAGAAATGGTTCATTGCTGGTACAATAAAAGATGACACTTCAAAACGACGATTTTTTTGATTTTCGATCAGCTCATGAGGTATCCACTTATTGAGCTTTTTCACCTTTGCAATTTGCTTCAAGTGCCGAACAACTGTAGAATGGTTGATCTTGAGTTCCTTGGCAACTTCTTGTGTAGTTTTAAGAGGATCAGCTCCGATGGTTGCTTTCAATTGGTCGTTGTCAACTTCCAATGGCCAGCCACTGTGCTCCTCATCTTCAAGGCTCTCATCTCCTTTGAAAAACTTCTTGAACCACCACTGCACTGTACGTTGGTTAGCAGTTCCTGGGCCAAATGCGTTGTTGATGTTGCCAGTTGTCTCTGCTGCTTTACAACCCCTATAAGAAAATCGCTCGAATTTGCTTTTTGTCTAAAATCATTTCCATAGTCTAAAAGAAATATAAAATAAATGGCAAGTTATAAGTCATGAGCAAAAAAACATAAAGCAACAGATGTGCGTTAAAATGATATTTAACATAACCACATTTAAGAATATATTCCATTATCGAACAGCAAATTTCAACAATGCTAAAAACCACAATTACTTTTGCACCAACCTAATAGTATATGAAAGAAGCATCATAAATACAACAGAAAAGATACTGAAGCAAGATATTAGGAAACCTGTAGTCAAGTAGAAAGTTCTACCATTTTCTAGCATCATGACCTTAAGAGAGTAACCCAATTTCTGTTTCCCTGGCTGTCCTCTGCAAACTTAAAAGTTAGGTAAAGGACCTCTTGGGTAACTTCCAGGTCTAGGATTTATATGAAACTTATAAACAGCCATAACAAATTGCCAGGCAGACTATTTTAACTCTATAAATGAGCTTGCAAATATTTCATCACTAAAATTAATGAGAAAGTGAAATATTTTTTAAATGAGTTTTGTTGCTCTATTTCTTGAAATTTAACACTACCTTTTAAAATGCTAGTGGTTTTATTGCTCCTCTAATTCAGTGCAAGTGTGACTATCCCAAAATATTTCACTGAAAAGAGGATTAGGTAAACAGAAACATAAGCTACCCAAAGCAACATCCCACATTTGCAGAAGAGTCCAAACTAAAATCAAGTTTGTTTATTCACAATATTGAGTTCACGGAAATATGGTACCTGCTGTAGAATGAATTGTGTTCCCCCAAAATTCATATGTCGAATCCTAACTCCTACTACCTCAGAATATAACACTATTTGGAAAATGGGCCATTAAAGAGGTAATTAAGTTAAAATGGAATCACGGGGGGGGGGGGGCAATCCAATATGACTGCTGTCCCTGTAAGAAGAGAGTGGGACACAAACAACACAGACAAAGGGAAGACCATGTGAGAACCCAGTGAAAAAAGGCAGCCATCTGTAAGACAAGGAGAGAGGCCTCAGAAGAAACCAAACCTGCTGGCACCTTGTATTTGGACATCTAGCCTTTAGAACTGTAAAAAAATAAATTTCTGTTGTTTCAGCCACCCAGTCTGTGGGATTTTGCTATGGTAGCCCAAGCAAACTAACACAGTCCTTTATAACTCTACCTTATCCTCTATTCCCTATACCAAGATTTATGAAAGAGACAAGCCTCCAGTTTCTATTCCTGACCTATCAGCGGGACATGAAATTACAAATAAATACAAATTTATAAACATTATGGGGTAATTTTGTTTAAGGATTTTATAGTATCTCTTGGCCAGTAAAAGTAGAGACTTTGATTTTCCTATTTGAGATTTATACTTGATATAATTGTTTATATTACTCTATACAGAATAGCTGTGTTTCGACATTAGTTACATGTACATTTTATATTAAGTACATATGCAAAAGAAAAGGAGAACTATGTTGCTCAAAAGCATACTCTAAAAATGGCTACCAGAACCCTAGTAACATGCAGTTTCCTATAGCAATCAAGGCTCCTGTTTTTAATTCTAATCTAACATGATCATTCTAATCTTCATGTTAATATTTAGCACGCATATGATAAAAACCAGAGAAACATTTTTTAATGTTCATTCTAAAATAAAATATATTGAGCACTGACACTAAGAATTTTATATTTATTATCTCCTTTAATCCTAATACTAATTGTATGAGATAGGAAACTGAAGCTCAGAGATATTTTATAATGCATATAGCTATGTAGCTACTAATTTATGGAGGCAGCAATTTATGGAGCTAGTAATATATTAACGAAGATTTGATTTCAAATTTTATTTTCATCTTATAATATTTTTCTAAAAGAAATGCATAAGTTATTTTGCTTTATTCTGGGTAGATCTATATGAGTATGTGCTTGTTTGTTTTGTGTTTTACTAAACCCAACATACATTACAGGTAAATATAATAGATTTAAAACATTTTAAATGGTAATTCATTATAGTTTTAAAATAATAAACCTAATAATCTATTAAAAGTAACAATTTGAAAGATTACTTAACAGAGTTACCTTTCGAACAAATGATTTCCTATATTCATTCATTTCACCAAAAATGGCACGTTTGAATTCTCCGTAATCAACTTTGCCATTGCCATTACCATTGACATTCAGAATTAGCCACAAAGACTCAAAATCCTAAAAATAATCAAACAGAGATCACTGTTACATTTTTAAGTCATATATGGTCACAAGCAAAATCATCATAGTTGTATTTTGTTATAACTTTTGTAACCCTAGATAAGATAGCTCATTTAATAAAAAAATTCAAAATGTTTCATATAAATCCAATCAAAGCCACCAAGAAAGCTATTTTAAGAGACCTCTGTGGTGAACAGTTCTATAAAGTCAGGAGCCATTTAG